ATTATATCAACAACAACAACAACAACAACAACAACAACAACAACAACAACAACGACAACAACAACAACAACAACAACAACAACAACAACAATAAAAACAAAAAAAACAACAACAGCAATCACAACAAAAAGAGGCTTTTACTTCAAAACTAGAACTAACAATAATATTGAATTTTTTTTTATTTTAATTATTTTTTCAAAAGATCTTAAAATAAGTAGATAAATAGTTAAAATTTAACAAGAAAATAAAATCTCTTAAAGAAACAAAGAAAAAAACTTGACAATTAATATATGTTTGATGATAGAATGTGATATCTAATAAGTTGAGTATTCTTTTGACTTGACTTTGTCAATTGTTTTTGCAAAAATATTAGGTTTAATGTTTTATGATATTTTTATAAATTCTTATATAAATTTTTTAACTGTTAAAGTGGTTTAAATATTCTAATATTTGCTTTTTTACTTTTACTTTTTTAAGTATAATGATAAATAAAAACAATTACTAAAAGTAGTATTATAATATTTTTTTGTTATTAATGCCGTTGTATAGGTCTACATAATAAGTAAGCATGTGTTTACATCTCTGCTTTGTTTTTATCATAAGGATAAATTTTCAGGCGATGGAATTTAGAAGCTACTGGCAATACTAAAATTAAAAGAGGAACTGGAAACAAAGAAGCTACTGCTTGTCTTATGGATGAATGGAAGTTGTAAGATGAAGTGCAGGGATTGTTATTTGATACCATCCCCTCAAACACCTGCATTTATAAGAGAGCTTGTGTCCTCATTGAGCATTAATCTGTGAACTTGTTCAGATTTAATAGGAAAGAAAGACAAAATTACTCACCAGGTAAAGACAAACTGTCAGGAAAGAAATGTTAACATTTGCAATAAATGCATCACACATCACCAGCCAAGAAAATATCATCACAAAACCTTTTAATTATTCATTGAAGGAGATTTCACTAGAACTGACATTAAATTTTGGACTGGTGCAACACACCGCGCACAGTGTATGGGTAAAACCTTCTACTTCTATAAAAATGCTGCTGTTTAAAAGCCAATTAACATTGTCTGCAAGAGAGCTCAAGAGCTTTACTGAGCTTACTCTCTCAATTGCCTTTGTTTATGGGCGCTTATGGCGCCAGACTCTACTGGCTTCTCATGCTCCTTTGAATGACTAGATGATGCTTGGTGCATTCTTTGATAATGAAATCTTTGAAAAAGATTTGAAGTACATCCTACTGCTTTCTAAGAGCCAGACAGCTCTGCATAGAGTGAAGTTTTTAGATGCAAACTTTAATAAATTAGAGACATTTGTGATTGAGAAGAAAAAATGAAAAGAAAAATTCTTTACATTGTTGAGTACAACAGGGATAAAGCAGTTCAAACATTTATTGGAAAAGGATCCAGAAAAATGTCAGGTTGATCTTACCAGAAGTTTTTCGAGCATGTGATTTTGCTTAAAAAGGTCAATGATGTGCAGAACATTGAATTGCTTTAATTGAAACAATCTCTAACAAAATATGAAAAGAAAAAATAGTTCTTGGTTCATTAGAAATTAAAGCATTAATAAAGATTTAAAATTAAAGATTTGATACTATAGTGCAATTTTATTAATCTATCATATACACAACCATACAATGACATTATATTTGTGAAATATCTGAAAGATTGAGTGTAATTCTTAAATACCAAATTTTTGTACATTTTACTTAGTTTTTTAAAATATGATATTTAATATTTTTCTAAATAAAATAATTCAAAGCAACCCATAAATATTATTCAACTAGCATTAATTTTTTTTTTATTAGCATATAACAAACCATGAAACAAAGCCTTATAGAGAAATGAAGTTAAAAAAACAATATTTTGACCATATATACATATGTGTATATATATAAATATATATATACACATATGTATATATATATATATATATATATATATATAAATATATATATATATATATATATATATATATATATATATATATATATATATATATATATATATATATATACAAATAGTATTGCGTACTAAAGTAAGCAATCTGACATCATACTGAAATAGCCTGCTGCTGGGGGCTTCAGTACATACATCAACTGACAAATAGCCTGACTCACAGTGGAGTGCTGCTGCATCGACTGAGGGTTTGGGATGGGGCAGCAATCGTATCATTCATCATTCTTTGTTTTTTTTTCTTCTTTTTCGAAAAAAACAATATGGCTTAGGTAAGCAAAAAAAGTGAGCAAATGCTTATCAAAACACTCTTTAGTAAGTGTAAATATATATGTGTGTGTGTGTGTATGTGCGTGCAAGCTTTAACAAGAGTTGCACACCTTATATGACCATACATACAATATTTTGCACAACTCTTTGTTTTAAGGTAGCCTTAGTTAGTTTTAAGTTATTATAAATTATTTATAGTATATGTCTTGTATACGACTTGGATATTTATTTCTATGTATATATATATATATATATATATATATATATATATATATATATATATATATATATATATATATATATATATATATATATATATATATATATATATATATATATTCAATGGCTATGGTTGAGGTATTCAATGGTTGATGATTGCTGAATAGGCATGAAACTTAAAGTACCATAGAAAAAGACTAGGTCAGCCCAAAGTCAACAAACTATGTATAACCATCAGCAAGTCGACACTTTTCATAAGTCGACAGATTTCCTGTCGACTTTACGCTTGAGTGAATTTTAGTAACGATTAGTTCAATGGAAATTAAAAAAAAAAGATACCATTGTAATGTCTAAATTATACTCAAGAGATTTCTATGAAAATCGTTAACAAAAAAAAACGCGGAAAACTATAAACAATAAATTTTTTTTAAAAACGCGTATATTTACTCATGTTACATATACGATCTATAGGTCGATAGTTAAGAGATTGCATTTTTTGTTTGAAATATAAAGATATATTTATTATAATTTTTGTTTAAAATATAGATAAACTATTTAGTTAAAATAATATACAACCAGTTAAAAAAAAATTAACATTTAGACATTATATAATATGTTATTTTTCAACTATAAGTAGACTTATTCTACTCGTAAATCTTGCGTCAAGTCAACAATAATTAATATATAAACTTATATTTTAATATTTCTATGTTTTTACAAATTTTTTTAATATAAATATATGTAAAAATGACAAATAAACTTTAAAATATGCGTATAAAATTTATTTTATACTATTTCTATGACGTCAAGTTAAAATATATGTGCATGCGTTCAAATCGCTAAGTTGACAAAATTTCTTTTTAAAAAAGCGCTTAATTGATCACTTAAATTTTTTTACAATACAAACATTTAATCTACGCAACATCTGTTAGTGAAAAATGAATTAAAAAAGAAAATTTTTTATGTCCACTTTTGGTGTAAAAAATAATTGCTGTCGACTTTTAGTAGACCCAGGCTTATATATATATATATATACATATTAAAAAATTTAATCTCTAAAGTTACTAATTTGTTACTTTTTACTGTGTTTAAAAGCAACTGATGCTATTGTTCTTCACTACATACAAAAGTAATTGGTTAAAAAAAAATATTTTTTGCTTCAACCAATCTTATTTGTACATTTTTACTAACTTTTCTAACAAGTGATGCAAAACTTGTAGCAATTGTACTCTACATCATAAATGATTGGCTAAAAAATAGTTTAAACTAATCACTATTTATTAAAAACAACAATTGCTACAAACCTTCCAAAAAAAATTTTTTAACAATTTTTACTAAATACTTTATTTAAATGTTTTTTTATAACCAATCAATTTTAAGAAAATTAAAAACAATTGCATCAGTTGCTCCAAATCATTAAAAATCTACAAAAATCTGATATACCAAATATCGCTGTACCAGTGCATAACTATAACATTTCAAAATTACCTGTTATGATAAATTCAATGTTAAAAATTTAGGTTGACTTCATTATAGAAAATATAATACACTATTAGGAAATAGAGACACAGTAATGCTTTCATTATTTTGTAAAAACCATTATTTTTCTATCAAAAAACATAAATCTTGAGGTGTATATAACTCAAAATACAATTTTGAGATGTTATGATCTTGCACTGGTACAGCAATATATGTACTTCACTTGCAAATTTGTCAAAAGACTAGAATAGCAAAGTTTTAGGACATAAATGAATTTTTTTAGTTTCAAATGCAATTAAGGCTATGCATTTGCCAAATATTCTCAAATATAAAAATTATTTAGCTGAAGAGTTGAAAATTTTAAACAATATATGTCTAGTGCAGCTATATAGTTAGCCTTTTGAAAATTCTAAAATAGATTGTTTTATCCAAAAGCAAGAAAATAGTAAAAAGTATGTTGCTTTAAAGTAAAACACTATTACTAAAGTTAAAGATGTTTGATATTTCCAGCTAGGATATAAACTAAATTTGTTTTAGTATACTTTTTTTTAATTTAAGGTCCTCCAAAGATGGAAATTGTATATATATATATATATATATATATATATATATATATATATATATATATATATATATATATATATATATATATATATATAATATGAGATATAATTTATATTGATTAATCAAAAATAGATATTGAAAATATATTTTTATAGCTATTTAATAAATTTAAATATGAATAAATAAAAATAGGCAAAAAATAAAAATATAAAGTATGAAAAAAAGAATAAACAGAAAGTAAAAGTTTTTTTTTTTCAAGAATAAAAAAAAATTTTTTTGATAATAACCATTAGTAATAAATAATTTTTTTCATTCTTCTTGTTTTTTTTATATTTTTAATTTGTCTATTTTTGCTTATATCCATTTTTGTTATTTTTGTTCAATTATTATACATTATATTTCATATTATTCATTTATTTACAAAATTTATGGATCAACATGTAATTAAAAATATAAGCCAAACTCTAACTTTAAAAATACTAGATAGAAATAAAATAAGAATATTACCAGCAGTTGGTAGGAGAGATATTGTTGATGGTACTAAAAGTAAAAATAGACGAAAATTGTAGCAACTTGTTTCTAACAATTATTAACTATGGTAATTGTTTAGTTTTTTTTAAATACTATGCATTATAATTTAAATTTAGATATACAAAAATAAAATTTAATACTCATGTTAAAATCATGAACCATAAAAATAATTATTAAAAAAAAAAAATTTTCACTTTAATATTAATAATTTAAAAACATCACTAATGTAATAATTTATACATACATACATGTATAAATTATTACATTTATACATGTATGTATGTATAAATTATTACATTTGTGTAGTTATTACAGATTTTAAGTGGAATGCATTTATAAAATTAACCACAATAATTATCTTTATTAGACCTATTGTAAACAAATGTGTTTATAACAATTTTATGTGTTTCAAAGAAAAATTGCAACTAAATTTGCTAATATGCTATATAAAGGTGAAATTTCCTTAGCTCCATCTGTTTGCTTTGATCACTTAATAAAAGTTGATTGAAATTTTATATTTTATAGTCAACAAAATGTTTGCTTACAAAGAAATATTCTGTCCAATTGAGAAATTACAAAGAAAATCAAAAGGTCTTATCATGCAGTAAAAATTTTATAAATTTAAGTGAAAATCACACTAAGAGCAAAAATAAAACAATAACCAGAAGGCACCATACTTCAATTTTAAACTTGGCCTCATCTACTAAAAGTACTAAAAGCAAGACAAATAAGGACTGACAGAAATTATCTGTGACCACAATTGTCCATCAAACTTTGTCAAAATCTAATGGTTATAAGTATTATTTGCATGATTTAACAACAAAAAAAAAGTATTCCAATGAGTCATAACTTTGGAGGAGAAGCAGTAGTAATATGGGATGCATTTTTTTTCCGCAGCAAAACTTTAATATGTTTTAAAACAGCAAAAATAATAAAAGAAATAAAGAAGATTTTCATTTAGTAAGATTATTTTAATTGATTTTACTGAAGATATACACCGAATTGAAATTTCTAACAAGATAATTTATAGAAAATATTGGCACAAATTGTATATAGAAGTTCTCAACAGTATAATACTATGCAAGAAATTAAATTTAAATCCAGCAATTATTGAGCAATATTTCATTAATTTGTTTTGAAAATCTTATAAAACATATGAAAAACCAAGTATTCAAATTACTTAACGTAAAAGGTGGTAGTGCCTGTTGTTAAAAATCTAAAGTAATTAGGAAATTATTATTTAAAAAATCAATTATTGCAACAGATTAAAAAGTCTTGTTTAGAAAAGAAATGACCTTTATAAACTAAAATATTGGTTAAAAAAACAAAGTAACAAATTTACATAAGGCTGAAATATACCTTACATACAGTACCCCTAAATTTGAAAAAAGCCCTCAAATTCTCAGGCCCTGCAAATTGTCTATCAATTACCAGTTAATGCTAATTTTAACTTTGTTATATCGTCAACATTTCATCTGCAAGAGAACCAAGGCATGGCCCAGTGATCTACAATAAAATTGCAGGCCTTTGTTATTGATTTTTTTTTTTTTTTGTCAAATGCTCATGAATTCCATCATGCATTTAAAATAGGCCCTGGGTTAGAAAAATGAATTGCTGGTAAATTAATTAGGTCTTGATAAGACATGTATCCATTACTGACACATTTTTCACTTTTAATAACTTGCCGTTAGGCTTGTATTTTTCAATTAAATCATGGTAGTTACTAATCAACTTATTAATGAAAAAGTAATTAATATTAGAGGGTGTTGATAAAGAATCAAACTTCGAATTTATAAAATGCTTAAGAATCAGGTCAAGAACATGAAGTTGACAAGGATGATACACTAAACCTGAAACAATTTATTACTCCATTTTTAATAACTTGCCTGTTAGGCTTGTATTTTTCAACTAAATCATGGTAGTTACTAATCAACTTATTAACGAACCAGTAAATAATATTAGGGGATGTTGATAAGGAATCCAACTTTGAGTTTATAAAATGCTCAAGAATCAGGTCAAGAACATGAAGTTGACAAGGATAATACACTAAACCTGGAACAATTTTTGTGAAACAATTCATTACTCCATTTTTAGAACCTGTATTTGCTGCAGTGGTGTCACATATTACAATGGAAATTTATTTAATAAATTAAATTCCAAAATAATAACATGTTATAAATAGAAACAGAGTTGCCTTTCTCTAAATTTTTTAATGATTTTGACTTGCTCAAAATGCAAGTGCTGTAATAATGTTGTTTGTCTATGCTCTTACCATCAAAATGTAAGCAGAACATTTTTTCAGAAGAGTCTGAATAAGACCAAATCAAGCCTATTTAATGAACGAGTGTTATAGATTCTTTTTGGATTGCGGATATGGAAATCGATGTCTCACCAACTGCATTGAGTACAGTTTTTCCAATCTTTGCCATACAACTTAATGGATTATCATTTTTAGATATCTTAACTACCATTTTACCAGTTCTTTACACATTTCAATGAATTGTTAATCATCACTTGTACTATTATCTTTTGAACTTTCACAACTAGAATTGTCTGAATCATCAAACAATTGACAATAATTTGTTTCAAGTCAGGTGTTGTAATAGGATCTATCACAAAAATGTAATAACCTTGCACCCATTGGATGATTTCTGAAGTTCATAAAAGAGTTAGTCTTCCAGATTTATAAATTTAGCATTTTTGGGTAATAAGTCAAACAAATTGGCCAGGTATTTAAACTATTTGTCTTCTTATTTGTACTTTGCAAACTATACTTTTCTGTGCACAGACTTCTTTGTAAAACATGGTATCGCCATATTTTTCCATAATTGACAAACTTCAATTATAAAATAATTTAAATTTTAAAGAAATTCAAGATTTTTTAATAATACCACTTGATCTAGAAATATTACCCAATTAAAAAAGCAAATGATATCTTCCTAATATCTGCTTCGTCTTACATAATTTTGAAAAAACCATCAGTGTTTTTTTAAACAAATTTCCATATGTGTGATTTTTAGCATTGGTTATGGTAGGGTAATTCCATATGAAATCATCCAAAAAAAACATTTTCTACACCCTTATGTCTCAGTATGTGTTCATTTTTGCCTTACTTGCAGTCCATATTTAAAAAATAATAAGTGCAAATATTTTAGTTAAAAATATACATGGGTTCCAGAGATATTGTCAGTTGAAATAATGCTGACTTATTTTAGTGATTATCTGAAGCGGCTACGAAGCAACTTTGACATATAGTAACTTCATAATGGCTCAAAGAAATTTCCTAAAGTTTTGGTACCCCAATAGATTTTTATTTAAGGAATCCAAAGATAGCACCCTCAAGACTTGATTGTCTTGATTGACTTGATTAGGAAGTGCCTTGTTTATCTAATTTGTTCAAAATAATTGACTTAAAAATTCATGGTTTTTAGATGCAAAATGAAGACTGTGGACCAAAATCCTGAGTAAAATGTTTAATTGCATATCAATATTTTATCTCAAGTCTACTGAAAAAAATTAGATTCATCAAGTGTCTCTCTAATACTTTATCAAAACTTGCGTTTAAAAATTGTCTTTTTAGAAAAATTTAAATTTTGTAATGAAAGCAATTGAAATGTTTTTTAAAACATTTATTTAAACAAAAACATCAAATAGTGCTAATACTGACTAATTTACGACAATTAAAGTTATGGGCTAAGATAGGGCAAGGAGGCCTCTGACTAACTCAGCCCCCTCCCCCAATCTCACTGAAACTTTTTTTTTTTATATGCATCAAATGAATTAATAATAAATAATTATTAAAATTCAATTTAAAAATATAATTTTTATTATAGTTTAAGTTTGAGAAACAATTTATTTTCATCATTTCAAATCAATAAATACTTATTTCAAAGTAAGGACTCAAAACTGAGATCTTTTCACGATTTTAAAAATCATAAATTTTAAAACCAAAAATATTGAAATGTTTTTTAAAACATTTAATAATTTTTATTACAATTATTTTACAGTTTAAGACTAATATAGTTATTGACAAGGTGGACAATGCAATTTATTTAAACCCCCCTCTTTCTCAACCTTTCATCCAAGGATAGGTGGACAGTGGGATTTATTTAAACCCCCCTTCTTCTCAGCCTTTCATCCAAGGATATGAAAAAAAAAAGACAAATTCTAAATGCAAAATAAGTGAATAAAATTACAACAAAATTATTTTAAATATGTTTAATTTTTTTTTTTTTTTGTAACTAACTGCTTATATTCTCCAAATCTAAATCAAATATGTTGTATGTATGACCAGTTATATTGTTGAGAGGGTAGAAATTATGCATATAACTTCAGAATGGAGCATCCAACACTCGTCATTTCTAATTGGCCAAAAGAAGTTTTTACCTGGTCCATGTGGATACTTGAATCTGACTTTTATATCAAGCTCACTTACATCTTCAGCAATCCCTAGCCACCAAAATCCGTCATCAAAACATGCAATTTAATCCATTTTTTTAATGTTTCCTTTTTGGAACGATATCTAATATTTCAATGCATGTATCAATACTTGTTTTTTTATAACTTAAAGTGTTTGAAGCAATTGGAATAAAATGATGATACATCTTTGTGTCAGAAACTGTTCTTCCACCTAAATATCTTTTTTCTAATTGTGCTCATGTTTGGTTGATTTTATCCAAAAATAATTTAAAACAAATTCCATTTATCTTGTATCAAAAAACATTAAAAATCTGCCCAGTAGTTATTTGTTTTAGACTTTCTTGACATACCACTCTTTTAACAGTCCCACCAATACCATCACAGGGGGATTTACCATAACTGGTAGCAAAAAATACCCATTCAGCATTTAAATCAAAGTCTTTACTGTGATGATAAAGATTGATAAAGTTTTAAAATTTTTAAATTGTGCTGATCAACCACATTAAACAAAGTCTTATAAATAAATCCTGTGTCAACATCTTCTGAAAGGTAACAAAAAGATTAATGTTTGAGAACATTCTCTATAAAATTCTCTAGAAAAATAAAGTTCAATTGTAAAAAGTGAATAATGACTTTTGCTCCAGTGATAACTTTGAACCTCATCCTGAATAACATATTGATGCCATTGCTTGAATGTTACATCTTCTTTGAGCACATTAATATTAAGTAGCAATAATCTTTTTTAAACATGTTGATTTTTTTTAATACTTGTAAAGTTTTTTTTTACTGGCATCATTCTTGAAAATTCATCACTTTGATAAAAGTTAACCACTAAATTAACTGTTTCTGATGAAAGTGGATTTCCAGTTGATTTTTTTTGGGAACAAGATATTCAGACACTTTAAAGTAGCTTGATATCTTTGTATATGTCTATGATTTTGGTGTGAGTGTTAACATTTGCACCTTATGGCAAAAAGAGTCAATCTTTGAATTTTTTTTATTTCATACATTAAAATGTCTAGATCATGATAATTATTAATGTTATTGTTTAATATAGGGCTTTTTATTTTTGATGTTATAGAAGTTTCTTCAATGCTATATGCTAATGAGACCATTTTTGCAATTCTGTCAATAATGTTCTCAAACTTTTGTTTTGCTGCAGGCAATTTGGTGTGTTTTGAAAGACTTATTAGTTTGACTGGTAAAATTCCAAGTAATTCTATAGTGGCCCCTTGTGACAAATAAAGTAATATTTTTAAAATTTAAACTTTAAATTGAATTTGAAAACAAATGTTTTAGAATAATTGCTTGTTAATTTAAATAATTTAAATTTTCATTCTTTTAAAACAAATATAGTTATGTGCGTTACATATTTATAATTGTTGAATCCCATGGTATTACCCATAAAAAAGAATATAGCTATGTGCGTTACATATATTTAATTGTTCCCATGGTAATACCCATAAAGAAGATTACTAAAATTTTTAAATTAAAAAAAAATTAAGTTAATATAGTGAGCTAATAAAAGTTTCCCATTTCTTTTGTGAATTTAAATCTTCATCACTTTCTACTGCTTTTTTGTAATATTTACTGCAGAATTTCCAACCTGGAATTACATAAACATTATTTTCGAGCAAAAAATTTTGCCAAGTCTAGGGAAATCTTTATATTACTTAAGAAACAAGTTTAGTTTTAAGCTTTTAAAATAACTGAATGTATGAAAATTTTTATAAATAATAAATAGTTTTTCTTTTAATTTCCATATCAATTCTGTTGTAATTAATGTTAGATTATCTTTTACAGCAATTTTTTTACTTTTGCTCCAAACGGATTGCAATACTTTTTAATTTTTCTCTCAAAATATTTTCTGTAGAATTGCTCATGATAAAAACATATAATTCTAATTGAACAATATTTTCCCTTCAAATTTGCTCGCCATATTATTTCTTCTTGTTTTTTACAAGAAAGATCTTTGAACTGAACAAAACCTTGTTTTTTAGAAAATTTAGGAAAATGGTCAGAGGCCCCCTGGCCTTCACTTGGCCCATTACTATAAATGTCTTAAACTAGTCAATAAATAAATTATTTGATGTTTTATTCAAATAAATTTTTTAAAAAACATTTCAATTGTTTTTGTTACAAAATTTAAATTTTTTTAAAAAGACAATTTTTAAACGCAAATTGATGAATCTAATTTTTTTCAATAGACCTAAGATAAAATATTGATATACAATTAAACTTCTTACTCTGGATTTTGGGCCACAGTCTTCATTTTACATACAAAATCATGAATTTACTAGTCAATTATTTTGAATTAAATTGGATAAACAAGGCATTTCCTGAGACAATCAAGTCTTGATGGCGCTATCTTTGGATTCCTCAAGTAAAAATCTATTACCAAATTTTAGGAAATTTCTCTAAGCCATTATGAAGATACTATATGTCAAAGTTGCTTTGTAGCGCTTCAAATAATAACTAAAATGCTGAGTCAGCATTTTTTCAACTGACAATATCTCTGGAATCCATGTGTATTTTTAACTAAAGTTTTTGCACTTATTATTTTTTAAATATTGGCTTAAATATATATATATATATATATATATATATATATATATATATATATATATATATATTTATATATATATATATATATATACATATATATATATATATATATATATATATATATATATATATATATATATATATATATATATATATATATATATATATATATATATATATATATATATATATATATATATATATATATATATATATTTAAACTATATTTCAAATATAGTTGTTCTTTAAACAACTATATTTGAAATTTAGTTGTTTAAAGAACAACTATATTTATAGCAATATGCATACTATAATAATTTTCTTAAAGAACAAAACAAAATTATGTTATTGATATACCTAAATATTCAATTATATACGCTATTATCATTTTATTTTTTTTGTGTGTTAATGTTGCAATAGTTTAAAAAATGTCTTTTTTAATTATAAATAAATTAATATTCTTAATGCTATACTCTAGCTAGAAATATTTTATGACTGCTTTTCTCTTTGAAACTATATTAAATATGAGTTGTAGCGATATAATACTTTACTTGAAATAGTCACAAACAATTTACTTTCAAAAAAATAACTGCATAAAATCAACAAACTTGCAACTTTTGTATGTGGCTTTTGTGCGTGACCATGTATTAACTGCATTTAAATGATTGCAGTGACTCTATGATACATAATGCAATCGTTTAGCTTTCTGGAAATCTTTACTAATATTTAAAATATTGTTTTAAAAAAGTGACTTGACTCAAGAAAGTTATGAAATGATTTTTATGACTTTCTTTGTGATAGTTGTTTGGCAATGGCGAGTCCTCAAAACAAACAATGTCAAACTTATCCCTCTGCACAATTGTTGTATCTCTTTATTTTTTCGGTAAATACCACCATGGTTGCTGCTCATGGTAGATGCAATTTGTTGATGCACAATTGTTGTATCTCTTTATTTTTTCGGTAAATACCACCATGGTTGTTGCTCATGGTTGATGATATTTAATCAACCAAAAAACAATCTTATGATTTTCCTTCAACAAATTGCATCATTTTACTGTAACTTTTATGCTTAAAAAACTTTTATTCATCTAGTCTTTTTCCTTAAACATCATTGCTTTGGAATTTAATCCTTCTATTATATCTTCATAATCCTATAATTCCTAAACTTCTATTATATCTCCATAATCTCCATAATCTTCCATTCTATCTTTTTACATCAATTGGTCTTTTTTTCTTAAACCATTTTTTTTTAAACTGTGAACACAAATTGATTGCTTACAGCCTTTTTAGAAAAAATTTAGTTAAAAAAAAAACAAAAAACTGATAAACTTAATTAATTTTAAAAGTATTTAAAGAATAGAAAATAATATAACTATTTTTTACCATCCACTAGATAAAACTCGGTCCAATTGGTTGGATTGCAGTAAACACTATCATATATGCCCTTGTCCAAAAAGCAGTTTTGAGAATCAATGTAAATAATTGAATATTTTAGACCTAAAACAAAAAATTATTATTTCAATTAATAAGAAATTCAATTAATTAAGAAAAAATCTGTGAATAAAAATAAGAATAATGATTTATTTTTTAATGAAAAATGTAAACTGATTAGGTAAAGTTAACACCATAGATAAGTTTTTATAAATAAATTATACAAACTTATCCTTATAAAATTTTTCATACACTCTTTCTAGGGTTATATATACCTTCGTTATTCAAGTGATATAAAAAACCGTTAAAAAACAAACAAGTAAGAAAACTTTAATGTAATGTAATGTGTTCTTGTGCTTTTAATAAGAAAAAGAAGGTTTCCAAAACAAAGCAATATAATCACAGTCATCTTCATTCAAACCACCTTCATTTGGAGAACACTGGTGATACTGTATTTCCAAAGACTCTCTCACTTTTCTCTTAAAATAGTCTACCTCTACTTTATTAAATAAAAATGAATATGTTAGTACAGAGAGTAGACTCAAGATGAGAGTTTAGAAATTTGTTGATCCAAAACTCCAACAACTTGCTAATAACAGATTCCTGTCATAGTCTTACAAAAATGTTCTTCTGAACTCTTTTCTGTTCTCTCTATTTAATAATTACTTGACTGAATCTTGTTTTCATGCTTGCTGGAAAATGGCATCTGTGGTTTCAATTTTTAAAAATTCTGGAAAAGACTCTGACCCTTCCAACTATAGTCCAGTCTTGTCTCTATTATTATTAACAGTTTTCAATAATCTTGTTTTATGGATGACTTGCTAACTGCTGTAACTGGAAAAATTATTTTTTGAATTAAATGGAGACAATGAAGCAAGGGCTATTGCTCTTACCATATCGAAAACTTTTAATAAAATTTGGGATGCTGGTCTTCTCAATAAGCTTGCTTCATATGGTGCATCTGAGAAAATTTTTGAGATAAAATCTATTTTTCCTTTAAAGTCATCCTCAAAAGCCAACACTCATTATTTCTAGTAACTTTTGGTGTATCACAAGGTTCTCTCCTTGTTTCTGTTTTGTTTCTTATCTACATTAATGATCATTCTGATAACCTTACATTTAAAATGGTTCTATTTGCTGATGACGCAAATTTATACTTCTGTCTTGAAAAAAAGTATTCTCTTTTCAATCAATTAGAACAGGCAGCCAATGTTGAATTTTGTCTCACCTCTGTAACTGTTTTACTAAAAAAATGCAAAATATAGCCATAATTCTTTTTTTTTTAAAATAAATGTAAGTGTTCCAATTAAGATGCTGTTCCAATTTCAGCAACTCTCCCCTTTATATATTCTTCTCTTTATTCATAATAGAACAAAGATTTTTTATGAATATAGTTTATCATAAATATTTAAAAAATTTGAAATCACATGATAAATAACTATCAAAATAAAATTTATAAATGTATTAAGTTATTAAGTTATTCACTGTGGCTTGTGAACCAACTTTACTGCAAACAACTATCATAATACTGTTAACATTCCTATATTAATGAATGGCAAGCCTCTCACTGAGTCCTTTTCTTTACATCTTCTTGGATTATTGTTTAATACTGACCTCTCATGGAAACTGCATGTGCACTCAATTGCAAAGTTAACATCTGCTGAGGTTTCTTCTCTTCATCAGGTTTGCCATTATCTTACTCCTGATTCCATTCTTTACTTCTACTTAATCTGCTATTTGTCACTGTATGGAATACTGTTGTCATATTTGGGCTGGTTCTTCTAATGATTCTCTTTCGCTTTTAGACAAGGTCCAAAAACCAATTATAAATGTAGTAGGACCTGCTTTATCTGCCATAAGTGAGCCTCTAGCACATCGTTATAAATTACTATCATGGTCATTGCTCAAAGGAGCTATCATCTCTAGTTCTATCAACCAAAACTCATTCTCACATTCAGAAAAGTTACAATTTTACTATATTTGTCGTTGCATACTCTAAAAACTTCTATTGGTATATTTTTAATATGCACTAGTACTTACCAGATCGAGGTTGACCAAAGAGAATGCTGGATGCACTTACTAAACAAAAAAAATTTTTGTGCATTTTAGAGACAAAAAAGAGATTTCTTTTTATATATATAGTTTAGAAAATATTTATAGATTCCAAAATTAATGTAATTTTTTTTCTGTATAGTTTTATACGAACTTTCATTAAAAGAATATTTTTAATAAGTAAATGTCTAAATATTTTTAAAACAAACTGATAACCATATGTAAATCATTATAAAAAAATTCAATAGCAAACTTCTGCTAGTAGTTCATTTGAATAGAAAAAATAATATAATAAAATAGAAAAAACGACATCTTTTCAACTAGTATCTTTATTTTTGTGTTCCTTTACAAGTATTTGAACATTTATATGAACATTTGTTTTATCATCCACATGTATGGTCTAAATGGATTTTTATCATTTTTTTATTTAAATATAACAATTTTGTGCTCAAAACTAATCTATTAAATCAGATGTTCTTCCTTGCATTAACCTATTTTGCTGATCATAAATGATTTTTTTTGTGAGACAACCACTAGGAGCATTACCATCAAAGTTAAAAACCTCCCATAACCCCTACCCATAACTAAATAACTGATTTTATAACAGAGTTTTCTATTTACCAGATTAAATGCTTTTACCACAGCTAATAACCCTCCTTTGCTCTAAATAAAATTATTTGTTTTTAATTTAAAATATTTGTTTTTAATTATTAATTTTTTTTATATATAATTAATTAAATTATAAAATATTTTTATATATAATTTTTATTATAACTAACAAGAATTGTAATGAATTCAAATTAGTTTATTAACAGTCCATGATTGATACAAACTCTTAGATGAAATCATAAAGCAGATAGAGTATTTTTAGAAATTGAAAAAGTATATTGAATATTTGCTTATCATTTTAGCAAATTTTTCCTAGTTTTTTTATTGAGAAACTACCACTACGAGTATTATACTCAATCAATACCATCAAAAGTAACCTTCTACAACCCCTATTCAGAGGGTTTTTATATCAGATATTTTATTCTTCTGAACTTTACCAAATGAAATAAAAATAAAAGAATTATCATCCATAAAGTTTCTTCTGCGTCAAGATCTTGCAATATTCTGTCATACAGAACCAAAGGACAGCCTTAAACAATTAATTTTGCTTAAATCACAAGATGTAGCAGGACTATAATATTGGCTCCAGAGCAAAAACTACTTGTCCCCAATAATAGTAAATGAGTGTATAGAACTTTTTGATTGAGGGGTGATTTTAAGTTTGCTACCACATATCCAGAATTTGAAATATCTTGCCATTGTAGGAGATCAATCCAGGATTTTTTCAAACAAAGAGCAGTTATTAATTTGTATACCTTGATGGTTGATGAAAGCTATGATGTGCACAAAAACTTCCTTGCTCTTAATGAACTGAAACAATTAGATGCTAACTCTTTAACAAAAAAATTTAAAGATGCTCTACTCTGATTTTCTTCAAGTCTTCAAACCACTGCTGTGGATGGAAGCTTATGATGGAGCAGTAATTATGACAGAACATTTATGTGGACTAGCTGTTTAATTGAAAAAAGAAAGCAATCTCTGCATATTACTTTGCACATTGTTTGAACTTGCAAAGATTAAGAGATACATTGTTTGATCAATTTTACAAGAAAGTAAAATATGAAGCTGATTATTTGGAAGTCAGTGAGCCATTCCATCAATTAATAATTCATAAGTTTTTTGTATTATTCTAAACTATACCATTATTTTATCTACTCACAATGTTTTACATTTTCAAAGTATTAAATTTAAGTAAATTGACAAAATCAACAGACAAAAAATCATTAAATTGGTTTTACCTCGAGTAAACTTATATTTGATTTAATATAATTTAACATTAATAGATTTATTTGCTAAATAATTCAAAATAAGCATATTTTCAAAAGTAAAAAACAATACTAGAGATAGTATCAAAACATATTTAAATGTTATTTATAATGGCATTTAAAAATATTATAAACATAACATTTTTAAATGCCATTCAAATATATTTGAAAAATTAGGTAAAAAAATGCAAGCAATTTTAAAGCTCAAAAATCATAAAGTGTAAGATATCTTGTTTCTAGTTGTTGTACCAACCTGTTGTTCAATTGTTGTACAATTAAAACATTCTTTATTTGGGTATTAAGTTTTTATTTTGTATTGCCTCTTCATATGTTTTGTTTAATACAAAATATGGCAAACCTAATCATATATTTTTCAAAAAATAAAATCTAATTATATATTTTTCAAAAAGATATGATAAACTTTTTCAACACTTAGCTCTAAATAATTACTTAGATAACCCTAATCATTTACATTTGCAAATTGATTTGTGCTATGTCTCTCCTTGCCTTTCCTATTATTTTGGGCATGCAACAAGAAATACAAAATATAGATATAATAGCAAAATACCTTTTTACCAAACAGTTGTTTAAAAAAATTTTATTGAAGGAAAAAAAAAATTATATTCAAATTGCAGAAGCTTTTCACTAAATGCAATATAATTAAATGACAGATCCATATTTAAAAACTCATCATCCCAACAAAAAACCTATATTAGCCAATCTTGATAAATGGATTTAACATAAGAGTGCCAATATAAAGCTACTAGAAAACAGGGCAATTTTCCTCAAAAATGAAAATAAAGAAATCAAGAGTCAATTGAAAAATAGTACAATAGAAAAGCCTACCTTGTTAACTTAAGAATGGATATTAGCAGTAAAGAAAAACTTGAAAAAAACCTAAAGAACAGTTTACAGTTATAAATGCAGTACTTATTGAGCAACAACAATGCCAAAAGATTTCGTAATTTATGACATTCAGAAAAATAAGTTCCAAAAAAGTCACTGATGATAAAATTGAGATTGACAACATTTAACGCCATTTGAAAATATGATCTTAAACCAACATCGATTAGAAGGCTTCATTCTAAAAGCAATGATAAGCCTGACCCGATCATTGTAGAGCTTCCAAACTCACCTGGCTGCAAACCACTTATTGTAGCAGCTCGACAACTTAAATCAAATAAGTTGAATGATAAAGTATTTATAAATTCAGACTTGATCAAAGCAAAAACATCAAGCTTAGAACAGAACGCAATAGATTAAATGCTGCTTTGACTCTAGACTCATTCATTTGATACTACATTCGTAGCAGTGAAATCATAAAATTTAAAGTCAAACCAACGGCATGAGAATTTACATTGCTGGTATACTAATGCAACATCACTTAAATAAATTTGAAGAATTTACGTGGCAATTGATAAATGTGCACATCATTAGAACATTACTGAAACATGGTTTAAAGAAGGTTTATCTAAATTACTATTTACTATCTGTAGTGACTATCTGTTAGTTTTTTCAATTTTCTGCTTTTAATTGTGGAAATTACAAAGATATGAAATCCTTTTTTGACAATGTGAACTGGTTATTATATGAAAAAACAATTGATCAAATGTATGACATTTTTTATATTACTATAATATTGGAATTAAAAAATTCATTTTGTTTTATGTTAGACACCCTCATGTTAACCCATGACCCAACAAACATATTGTCGAAAAAAGACAATTCAATTGTGCCAGTGGGTGAAAACAAAAAGACAAAATTATAAAGTGCTAAAAAAATCACTTAAACAATAGGCAATGAAAGCAACAAATGAACTTGAGAAGAACCTAGATTCCAAAGCAAAACAATGCCCAAAGTTCTGTATCAATATATCAACAACATGCAAATACAAATAACCATAACATACAAAATACAAATAACTGTAAATAACACTTGAAGATAAAAATTCAAGACAAAAACCATAACATGCAAAATACAAATAATCATAAATAACACTTCAAAGTAAAAATGGTTTTATCTGTGATGGTATTTTTAATATCTTAAAAATATTTTTAATATCTTAAATATATTTTTAATATCTTAAATACTTAATTTCAATGGATATTTATCAAAGAGGATAAAAATATAATTCCTGATTTTGATGATAAAAACATATTCATTTCTAAACCAATGGATGAGGGTAAAATATTACATTTTGAGATTTCTAACAAATTATTTTAAGAATATATTATCAATACTATGGCTCATTCTCAGAACCACATTACTATCATACTATGGCTCATTCTCAGAACCACATTTTTGTTATTTCATTTTTTAACCACAAACCACAACCACAATTCTGCAAAGCCGTAAATCTTTTAAACTATTATTATTTGTTTACAAAAAAAAAAACTTTATAATATATTTTTTAAGTTGTCAAGATTTTGAAAGTTTATTACAAATTATAGATTTTATTAGTATATTCTTATTATTTATTTAAACAGCATGTATTTTTTATGTTAATGTAATTTTGTGTATTTTGTGTAATATCGTGTTTTTTATTGTAATGTAATCTTTTAAAGCAATTTTTATGATTTAATTTGTAAACGAAGACGAAGTTAATTATTTTAATAAAGTTATTAATAATCACCAAAGTTAATAAAACTAATTATGAAACAAACATATAAGAACATATTTCTGGTTACTAAACACAATGCATAAAACGTAACTCGCGGATGAACAAGCATTGTGCCTGAGGTCATGACAGAACACAAATATATAGTAAGTTATTAGATATAAAGAAAAATTTCTAAATATTGGTTTACTAACTCCAATTATTTTCGGTTTAGTTGCCATTCTTAAAAACTCGTTACACTTTTTTCTGCTTTGAATAATAATTAAAATTTAAAAGCCCACTCACTAAACATCATCAGCGAAATTGTGAAGCAGTTTTGCTTCCTTGTCATAAAACATTTTTAAACTTTTTAGTTGTTTTCAATCTAGTTTATTTAATTCCTATAATAATTCAATGATTTAATTATTTCATTTGTTTATCTTACTAAGAAGAATTGCTTCAAATATGTTAAACTTTTCAAACTACGCGAAACATAAAAAAGGTGTTAAAAAAATTAACTTTTTTATTTATAAAATAATTTAGCTTAGACAAAACTAAAACTTGCTTAAGTTTTATTAGAATCTTGTTAGACTTTTCAGGGCTAAGGGCCATTTTTATTTTGGGTGCCACAGCGTAAAAATGACTAAACAAAAAGATCTTCTTGATATTTTTGGGGCCCTAACATTGCCAGGCCCTCATCTGATGCCCCCTTTAACCCTAACCCTCCTTAATCTAGCACTGGAAATAAGACACGACTATATAAATAAAAATTATATTACACTCTTATCGTAAGATGTTACTTTAAATAAAAAACATTGCTTACTTTATATAAAAAACGTCGCCTAATCTTATAAAAAAATCATAAAAGAGCAATATTTTGAAAATATTTGTTCTAAACGTAATTTATTTTGCTTAAAGTTTTGTCGCGTTAAATGATATTATGTTTTCTTAATTTTTTCTTTTACTAAACTATTATTTCCGTGGTCAGTAATCGAGAGCGATTGCTCCCGCTTCCCAACCAAGCCTGTACAGTGTGGGGCACTACTGAACAAAAATAATGGGGCACAACTGAATGTGTGCCCCATTATTTTTAATAATGGGGCACACGTTCTATTTACTATTATTAATTCTTATACTATTATTAATTGATACTATTATTAATTCTTAAATTTGCAGTTCCTTTGACTCTCCCCTAATAATGTACAATTCCTTTGTTAACAAAAAATTTTTTGTTTGCGTTTTGATTATTATTTTTGCCTTCTCCTATTTAAGTCATTGATGAACTAAATATATTGTTTTATTTTTAATTCTATTTATAATTGTATTTATAATGAATATTTTTTGGAATTAAATGAAAAATTATACAAATAAATATGATTTTCTAATTGCTGGACAAAAAAACTTTAATACCTTAAAAAAAACTTCAAGAATGACATCACATACTGAAACTGTTATGATATAAACATGCATAAAATAAATTATCAATTCTGGAGATTGAGGCATATATTATAAAGACTCCGAGAAAAAAAAAAAAAGGCAAGCACAATAAAGAAAATGAAAATGGCAAGCATGATAAAGAAAATTAATTTTAGCAAATGATAATTTAGCAATTGATTGTGTATATGGTTTAAATGAAAGTTCAGTAGTAAACAATAATTTAAGAAGATATAAAAAAGAGGACTCAGTGAGAGGTTTACCAACCAATAATATCAACAGTATTGCGATAGTTGCTTGCAGTAAATAAGAGAGTTTTATTGAAGTTAAAATTCACAAGCCATTTCAAGCCACAATCTGTTACAGAAGTGAGATTAGATTCAAGATTGAGTGCCTGTTCTAAGCAACTGAAAAGAGAAAGATTTTTGTCAAGACAGGAGTATAAAGTTGAATCATCAGCATAAAGAGCTACTTTAGATGTAAGGTTGTCAGGAAGATTATTAACCTAGATAAAAAAACAAAATAGGACCAAGGATTCATCCATGAGGTACACAGAAGTTACTGATAATGAAAAAGAATGTTGGCCTTTGAAGATGATTTTGATAAAAGGTTAGAAAAAAAACGATTTGATAATCTCAAAAACTTTCCCAGATACAACATATGAAGCAAGCTTATGGTGAAGACCTGCATCATAAACTTAGTCAAAAGCTTTAGATACGTCATGAACAATATCCCAAGCCTTCTTGCCTCCATCTAATGTATAATAAAAGCTTTCAGTCACAGCAGTTGGCAAGTCAACCATAGAGCAAGAGGAATGAAAACTGTATTGATTGTCTGACAGTAAGTTATTTGACTCAAGATGAATGTGAGAAATTTGTTGATCAAAGACTCAGAGATCTTGCTAATAACAGAAAGAAGACTGATAGGAAGAAAATGATCTACAGAATTTTTGAAAATTGGAACCACAGATGTCATTTTCCAGCAAGCAGGAAAACAAGACTCAGTCAAGCACATATTAAATAGTTTAGAGATAATTGAAGAGAATCGGAGAACATTTTTGTAAGACTATGACAGGAATATTGTCTGCAAGCCATAGAAGAGTTAATTCAGATATGACTTTGGCAACAGATGCTGAAGTGATTTGAATGTCTAACAATAGGTTATATCTGTTTAATTGGAATTAGAAGAAACATTCTTTGCAAATAGTATTTTTGGGATAATAAAATCAGTCCCATGAATGAGTATATTAAGATCAGTCCCATGAATGAGATTTGGTAATAAGATCGGTCCCATGAATGAGAAAAGGAATATTAGACCTGCCTGCGTTAACCTGTGCTGTTTTCTAAAAGTCTCTAGAGGCTAACTTCTGAAAAAAACTTTTATCTTTGGTGAACTGAGATTAATAGAGCTTAGCATCAGACAGCACTTTTTTACATCAATTTCTTGCAATAATAAATAGCTGTTTGCTCTAAAGAGAGCTATTTTTTTGAAAAAGATGAAAATAATGATTACAATTATATATAGCAGCTGCACAAGAAGGTGAAAACCATGGAGTAAGATAAGACTTGACTTGGAACCTACAAGAAGAAATAAAAGCTTCCATTCCTGCCTTAATCCAGGAGGTTATGTAAGAGGCACATTTCATCCAGCTGAGAGAGACATTAGCCAAAGGACCGTCATGAAAAAAATCACCAAAAGAATCCCAGTCAGCTTTAGGGTAGTAGTAAATAGTGCAATGATAGGTTGAGTCTGAAGAAGAAGTGACAGATGAAAGATTTATAGATATCATTGCATGGTCAAAACCACCTATAGGAAAAAAAAGAGAAACGGAACACAAGCTAGGGTCAGAGACAAGACACAAATCAAGTAGTGAAGAAAAATGATTAGGCTTGTCAGGAAAACAAGTCACAAAGTTAACTAAGTAAAAGATTTAGAAATGCAGAAATTATAGGCTTTAATGCAAGCGGGGTCAGTAGCAATAGAGCAAAGCCATTCAGTGTGATGAGCATTAAAGTCACCAATAACAACAATATTGGCATAGGGGTAAAGAGAAAAGGTATGGTCAATTTGATTAGAAACTTCAACTAAAAGAGTGCAGTCCTGGGAAGTAATTATAAAATTACTTGCAAATCAAAGGATCCTTAAACACTGAGATCTGAAGATAATAATGATCATAATAAAATAATAAATTATTATAAATATAGAGTATTCTTGCAGTTTAAACTAAGTCAAGTACTTAGTTTAAACTAATTGACTATTATATTATTATAGTCTTAATTGACACTGAGATCTGAAGATAATAATAATCATAATAAAATAATAAATCATAACTTTGGGCTCCTTAAGTGGCCTCAACAATGTGCACCAAAAGCATTAACTGGGCACCATCTATACACCCTACATGACACTGTTAGTACTCTGATATTTTACAGCTGTTAATGGAATCAGCCTCTCTGAGAGCTATCACAGAGTTCTGAAAATCTTACTACCAGCTGGCCTCACAATCATTAAATTGAGTTGTAGAGCTGTATCCTCATTAGGAGATAACAGGAAGAGTTGCATTGCCACTATTAAAAAGACGCAAACAAAAACCTATGAGTAGAGTGTAGAAAATCCAGAATTCATTATCCTAGGCAGTAAACAATGTAACACAGGTTTACATCTATACCAGTCTAATAGATAAAGAAGGGGTTTGAGGCTGGTCAGCCGAATTATTTTGCCCTAAGGCAGAGGTTTTTTAAGACAGAGTTTGTCTCCTAGTCTTTGCCAAAAAAAGTAACCCTACAATGCAACAGGGCATGGGGCAGGTAGTACTGGGTTACATCATACCAATAGCATGATTTGTATCATCAGCATACAGATAAACAGACATAAAGTAAACAGAGTTGATGAGGTCATTACATACTTTTTGTAGATTAAAAACAAAAGTTGACCTAGAACAAAACCTTGAGGAACATCATTAAAAAATGACCAGTATCAAGATTTTCTGATTTTTTCTGCTATACATATAAATGCATAGCAAGTAGAATGTTTTGATGGAAATCCAAACTAAAAATCATTAAAACAGTTAAATAAGTTTAAAAAAGATTACAATCTCTAGAATACATAAGTTTTTTAAGATGCTTACTAATGTTAGATGAAAGAGAAATAGGTCTATAGTTAGTGTAAAGTTTAGAGCCATTTTCAAATATTGGAATAACACAAAATAATTTCAAATTATCAGGAAATATTCTATTTATGAATGAGGTATTAAATAGTTTAAAAAGAAAATCTTAAAAATACTTTCTAACTTGTTTATATTAACAAGATCTTTAAATCTTAACATTTTTTGTTGGAAAAGATGGCAAACTTGAATAGATTTTATAATTCCTTTTGTAATCCGTAGTTTAAACTGATGTTAGAAGCTTTTGATACTTGATTTTTGATACTAGTGGTAATGTGTATGAATTAGTATCATTGGATTTTATAACAATATTCCAGTCAGTTATTGATAAAAAAAATAAGATTTTCTTTATTAAAGTTTTTAAAACTTTTGCTATATGAATTGCGTGTCTGCTATATGAATTGCGTGTCTGCTATATGAATTGCGTGTCTGCTATATGAATTGCGTGTCTGCTATATGAATTGCGTGTAAAAAAAACATCTAATCTCTATAATAATAATCTTTAATTTGTTTGCAAACAAAATGTTAATTTATGCAAACAAAATGTTTGCATAAATTAACATTTATGCAATACAAAAAAATACAAAATTTAGCAAAAAAAAAGTTAAAAATAATTTTTACCAGATTTATTTGTACCATTTATGTTAACACCTAAACAAACAAATAAGATCTATATAATTATTCATCTTATAGTTAAAAATAATTTTATTTTTAAGTTAAAAAAATAAAATCTTTGTCAAAATATAATTTACAATAGTTAAAAAGTTTGATAACAAAATTGATATAAGAAAGTAAAAAAAATTCATGCAGCATTAAAAAATATAAATGAATATTTATTTGCGATACATTGGTACAAGATTTATTTAACAGTTATCTGTTATTAGTAATATGGTAATATGGTAATATCTGTTAATGGTAAATGGGTAATGGCTTTATAATTAATATCAAGAAATTTGAATATTTTATAATACATTCAAAAGTATATTTTTAATAATAAAACCTCGAAAAAACAAGGCACAAATAAAAAACTTGATGTTAAACAATATTTTTAAAGAATAGAATCACTTTTATACACACCATTATTATAATAATAATTACTTTATTTAATTATAACTTTAAAATATTTACATGTATTGCATGTTGATTGACAAAATTGATTCATAACAGGGTCTGTACAATCAAAGCATGCTTTACTAGGTACATTGTCTTTGCAAGCTAAAAAAAAATTAAATATTTTTTTAAACATATAAACATATTTAAACACTTATTTAAACTAGCAGTAAGCAACCCGTAATACGCGTTGTTAGTAAATAAAATTTTAAAAAAAAAACGCGTATAGAAAAGCCTAAAAACTACTTTAAAATAGAAAAGTCTAGAAAATGATGTAACTCGACTAATAATAATAATAATAAATTAGCGTATTCATATTATCAGATAATTTATTATTTAAAAAATTTACTATCAAAAAACATACTCTGCCCTGCAAAAGTTGAAACTTTAAATTTTCTTGACATTTTAAATTTTAATAGTTTCTTACTTATAATAACCAATATTTTTTTTTAAAACTGTTTGTAAAGTATAGACATTAAGTAATTCAATTAAAATGTGTTTTTGAAATCAATAATAAAATATTAACATTGAAATATATTATTAATGAAAATTTTGAAATATATAATATTTTCTTCATTTTTATATTATAAATATGCTAAAACATTCTTGATGGCAAATTTTCAAATAAAATTCAATTATTCTTTTCTCATCAAAGTGCAACTCCATTGAAGTTTTTTGCCAATGATGTAAAATAATATTAAAATAAGGCTTCAATTGGGTCTAGCACATTAGCAGTGTATTTTAGGCAGATGAATCCAAATTTCTTGTTTTTGAAACAAGGTGACAATCTGTCAGACAAATGGCTTCTGAAAAATTTCATCCAAAGTGTATACAGCCTGCTGTCAAACATGGCTGAGGTTCAGTAATGGTGTGGGGCTGCTTTGTTTATAATCAAGTTGGTTATCTCATAAATGCAAATGGAAATCTTGATAAGAGTGATTATTATAAGAAATTATGTAGAAATGTCATAACATGTGGAAAACATCTCATCTGGTTCACATGGGTTTACCATGCAACAGATTAATGAACCAAAACACACATCCAAATAATGTACAAGAAAAAAGAAAAAAAGCAGATAAAAGAAGCTAGTAGAAAACTCAAAATTATGAAATAGTGCTTAAACATATATGTATATATACACCATGCATAGCACCATGATTGATATATATATAATCTCTAGTAGCATCAATCAAGTTGTTACAAAAACAGCATGTTACAAATCACCATGTTAAACCAAGTAAGATTTTTGGAAGACTCTGATCAGAAAAAAAACCAGACAATACACCAACTTACAACTAAAATTGATGACCTGAACAAGGAAGTACTAAAAACAAAAATTTAAACACTTTAACAACCTATTCTAGCCCTTCAAATAAACAACCTCTATTTACATTTGCATCGTTGGTCAGTAAAAAAAAGTGAGGAAGAGTTAATGACGATCACTAAGATAAGGCAGGAGCTGGATTAGAACAAGCGTATTTTTAAAATAAATTCGTAATAAGCGACATTGAGCTATCTCAGGGATCTGAGGTTGAAACTAAGGATAAAGATGATCAGTTAGTAAGAAATATCTGTACTACAAGTAAATGAGGAAACAATGCCAAAATTATTTAGAATAAAGTCTGGGACAGACAGAAAGACAACAAAAATGATCCTAGTTGAACTGAAAAGTGAAGAATTATTCAGTTTAGAACTAGTTAATGCATGCAAACAAACAAAAAATTCAAAGATGTCAATATTAACTCTGACAACAAGAATTCAAAGAGACAACTAAAAATTCAAAGATGTCTATGTTAACCATGACAAAACTAGTGTTGTGCAAGTAATAGCAAAGAGGCAGCGAGAAAAAAGAAATGAAATATGCAAATATAAAACACCAGGATAGCATGCGTAAACATTGTGATATTAACAACGGAAAAAAGTCTTTCTATGTCTCAAGAAAAGGAGTTCTGAAAAAAAAAAAAAGTAGAGCTATCAGAGTTTGATTCAAACTACTTTTTGCAACAAGTACCATCACAAGCCTATCATAAGTACCACAACATATCCAGAGTTGTTAGCAAATTGTTAATGAACAACTTAGTGTTTAATACTAAGCATGTCCAGCTAACTATCTGTAACAAAAATACCATCTCCATAACTATCAACAACAAATCTAGTAGTAATAGTACTTATACAGTCTTAAGTGAAATCACCTTCTATAAGAATGCTTCATCACCTGCTTTTATAAGAAAATGCTTCATCCCTTTGTAATAAATTGGACATTCTTACTGCAACTGTTAAAACATGAAATTCCACTATGATAGGGGCAATTACAGAAACTTGGTTCAATGATTAAAACATTGAAGTTTTAATACAAGAAAGTTCTAGCAATATGTTACAAAATCAAGCTACATTTGCTCAAAAACAGAGATCAAATCCAAAATGGTTTACAACAGGTATTAAAATTCTCACAAAAAAGAAACATAACCTTTGGGCAAAACTGCTTAGCAACTCACCCATTTCTTATCTATCTATCAGCTAAATCTATAAAGCAACTTACAAGCAGTTAAAAAAGACGTACTTGCTGCACAAATTATGAATCAAAATTTACCTCACTTTCAAAATCTATTCCTAAAGTGGTATATATTTTCAGTCAAAAGAAGCAAAGTTTACAGTTCCCTCTTAGATAAAAAATGGCATGGAGTTAACAAAAAACATGAAAAAACAAAATGCCTTAATAAACAGTTCGAGTCTGCTTTAAAGTTGATCACAAGAACAATTTACATTGATCAAGTATGCAAGATTAATCGATTCAATTGTAATAAAATTGATGTTTTCAACTGTTTTTAGAAGTTTCAGAATGTTTTTAGAAGTTGTGTTTTAATTCCTAATTACAAGCAGTTCCAACATTATGGTGAGACAACTTTAATCTGTCAACATTTTTCAGTTGATGCAGCTTAATTGTACCAGATATTGTGGGTAACAGATTTTTACATCATTTCCATCAATAAAAACTACATCGAACAATCTTTTAACATCTGGTAAAAAAATATAAAATATTTATCTGTCTTGTTATTATAAAAAAAGTAGAATTCTAGTCTAACTCTAGTCCTATATTAGTCAATTAGTTTAAACCAAGTATTGTGATGCCGGTTTTTGTTTTCATCTTTTTGATAGTGGCAATGTAACTCTTCCTGTTATCTCCTAATGAGGGTACAGCTCTAAAACTCAATTTAATGATTGTGAGGCCGGTTGGTAGTAAGATTTACAGAACTCTGTGGTAGCTCTCAGAGAGGCTGATTCCATTAACAGCTATAAAATATCAGAGTACTAACAGTGTCATGTAGCGTATAGATAATGCCCAGTTAATGCTTTTGGTGCACATTGTTGAGGCCACTTAAGGAGCCCAAAGTTATGATTTATTACCTTATTATGATTATTATTATCTTCAGATCTCAGTGTCAATTAAGACTATAATAATATAATAGTCAATTAGTTTAAACTAAGTACTTGACTTAGTTTAAACTGCAAGAATACTCTTTCAATGAATTGAGTTAAATTGGATATTGGCATCTTCTATATTGGCAGTTAAAAACTAACTTATTTAAAATCAGTTACAATGCCTATGTGAAAACAATATGAAACTTTATACACATTTCAGCTATCATAGTTGACCATATTTATTTAGTAAGCTCCGCTTTATGCAAAAGTTCTATCTTATTATTATTGTTCTTATTATTATTTTTATTATTCTTATTATTATACACATATGTATATATATATACACATATATATATATATATATATATATATATATATATATATATATATATATATATATATATAAATATATATATATATATATACATTTATATATTATTATTATACACATTTATATATTATTATTATACACACAGATATATATATATATATATATATATATATATATATATATATATATATATATATATATATATATATATATATATATATATACATACATATATATGTGTGTGTGTATGTGTAAATATATATATATATATATATATATATATATATATATATATATATATATATATATATATATATATATATATATATATATATATATATATATATATATATATATACATCCATAGATACGATCTTATAGCCTACTGCTACAAGGAAGTGTCGCTACATCAACTGAGGGTTTGGTTGGGGCAGGCAGTCTATCAAATAATTTAAAAAAAAAAAATTTAATATTCTGGTCTTTAAAATAATTTTTTTCAAAAAAATCCGAAAGTTGACCATATTCATTTAGTCAGCTCCGCTTTATGCCACAGCTCTATTTTATTATTATTGTTCTTATTATTACTATTTCTTATTATTTTATTATTCTTATATATATATATATATATATATATATATATATATATATATATATATATATATATATATATATATATATATATATATATATGGGTATTCCCAAAAAATCATGCACGGAACATTGCATCTGTTGCATTAATTATTTTGAAAATAATGCAATTTGTAACCACTGACTTACTTTTATTTAATTGACATCTATGTATATATTACCTATACAAAGTATGGTAGCTATGGGTTGCTTCATTATAAAATAAATGAATTTTTTAATGGAGTCACGCACGGAAACAGAAAAAAGCAAAAAATAAAAAATTAATAAATGAATCCTATTTTCTCTGAAAATGTATTAGTGACGAGTGTTTTGTTTTTTATAGGTAATTATACAAGCATTTTTAAAGATTTTTACAAAGTTACAGCATTCTACGATGTATCTTTGCTCTGTAATAGTAGTTTCAACCGAAATCACGCACGGACAAAAAAAGAGTAATGAACGGAACATGCAAACATTCGTCATTTTTGGATTGTATTTTTGGAAATAAATCGATTGCAACAATCACAATTAGCATATATATCAATTCTAATTAATTTAATACACGTTGGAATAAAAATAAATACTTAAGTGTATTATATTAAAGATAAATAATGTATTATATAGTTAATAATATATTAAAGTTAAGAAAGATACAATATCAAATTTTTAACAGTATGTTTAGTGGTAACACTTCGGCTCGACAATAATATGTCCACGGTTATCAAAGTGTGGTTGTGGTACTAATGGTTTTAACTCACACAAGTCATGCCAAGAGAGGTCATCTAGGCATAACGCAATTCTACAAAGACAAATATACCTGGAGAAATAGTATCAAATTTGTACTTTTCAGACGGGGATGATAATGCGTTTATCAATAATGAAGATGATGAATTATTAACAATTTTTACCATTTCTGATCGGTTACAAATTGCCATGTAAGCGCCATCAATATTAAAAAGAAAAGAGTGGTGGCGACGAATACCTTTGACTTTAAACTTATCTTTGAGAAGCGTTTCATCGATCTCACTTTGTTTTGCGGTAATACACTCATTTGTAATAGAGATGATCTAAAAAAATAAAAAATTTAATAACCAAAAGTTTCTTATCTTTAACTTTCATTTTGAGATTTTTTCTATAAATAATGACTTACATTAATTTTGGTATTTTTTTCACTTGCAATGCTCACAAAATCTTCTAAACTGCAACAATATCGTTTTCCAGATTTTACTGTTGTCCAAACCATTCTTTTTATTTCTCCACCTATCCCATCAACTGCCCCCATTCCGTGTGATGTTGCAAAAAATGACCAACGAATCTCAAGAAGATCAGATGATAATTTGTACAAATTATTCATGGCTGTCGTGACATAAGAGTTTTTGAATTGTGTGAAGGCCCATCAGTGAAAAAGTGTAATTTACAAATATTATGATAACGATTTAATAATTCTTTGATAATGACGGCATATTTATCATGAAGTAAACGATCGGATACAATGGCATAGGAATGTGTATTGTTTTTACTCCAAACTGCTGTAGTGGATACTGTTAGTTGCTGATGAACCCAGTAAGCATATTGAATTTCACTTTGCTCCATTATGGTGTAATTTTCACTGAAATCCATCTAATTTTAGAAGAATTAAAAATATAAATGGATGAATAATAAGTTTATGAATAATAATACAAAATTATTAAGTTTTGTTATCGTACTACAAATAAAGTTACAATTTTACTTACTTGTATAATCAATTCATTTTCTGATACATTTTGGCAAAATAAACGAAAATATGCAATTTGTTGTCGCTTTATATAGACATGACGTATATAATCTGGCAATTGCTGATGCAGTAATACACACCCCTCTAACAAAGATGTTAGTGGTTGTTCAATTTTCTGCGCGTTTTCTGAGGACCATTGGTCAAAAACAAATAGCGGTTTGTTGGAATCGTCACCAAATGAGTCTATTACATTAGATACATATTCATCAAACTTTGGCAACCCACAGTTTGCTTTACATTCCATAAACATGCAAGATTGGTTGTTTTGATTACACACAGATCTGTCAACTATGTCTGACATAATATTAAATTTTTTTTGAAGGGCATTCGTTAACAACCTGAAATTTTCATGGTGTATGCAAAGGCAAATATCGTGAGGAAGATCGTTTACTAGCTTGACATAGAATGGCAGCAGATCGTAAAACTTAGATTTGCTCACTTTTAAATTAATATGCTCACTTTTAAAAAGTGAATATGCTTCTCCTATGGTCATCAGCATGTGACGAATTTAGTTCTAAAAAAACCAAAAATTGTTTACAAAAACTGAAAACCTTATTAAATAAAATGCGATTCCTACATATAAACGATGTGTCATACCTTCTTCTTTGTTTTCTTATCAATAGCAACATCTTTACGTCCTGGAGCCATTCTACTAATATCTTCTCGCAAAGAACTTTGAAATAAACATTGTCCAAACCAGCGTAGTCAGGACCTGATTCTGAAATATTAGAAAGTAGTATGTTTTCACGTTTACAAACTTCTTTTAAAAGGTATTTTCTTTTGTTTGAATCGGCAGGTAATGCTGAATTAATTTTTTTAAGTGCCTTTCCAAAGCTCTGCAGAGATAAAAAGGGTTGTTCAATATCAGATGTAGGTTGATTCAGCTCTCGCTTTTGCTTCTTTCTTTCGCGATCTTTTTGACGTACTTCTTCTTTTTCTTTTTCGCTCATGTTAGCTCTTTTATTTTTCATTCGATTAGTTTCAGCAATCCGATATTCTGAATGTTTCTTTCTAAATTTTTTCTGAATTATTGAATGCTTAAATTTGTTCATTTTAATTCTAAATTCTTTTAAGCAACTGTTTTCTATCTAACTAAGTTTTACTCCAACTAGTTAATTAGCAAATATGCTATTCGAGCGTTATAAAGCTAAAGAAAAATAATTATCACGCACCGATGAATATTTGCCCGTGCGTGATGCAAAAAAACAATGCTAAAATATTGTAGAATAAAAAAAAAAATTTGCCATTCAATTCAGTAACCTAACAATACGCAAAGTAAAAAAAATCACTTTAATTGAAACTTTTTAACATTTCTTTTTCTAAATAATTAGATCTTTTGAATCACACACGGAAATTCAAAACCATATATATATATATATATATATATATATATATATATATGGTTTTGAATTTTTTATATATATATATATATATATATATATATATATATATATATATATATATATATATATATATATATATATATATATATATATGTATATATATATATATATATATATATATATATATATAATAAAAAACATATATATATATATATATATATATATATATATATATATATATATATATTATTATTATTATTATTATTATTATTATTATTCACATACATATATATATGTGTGTGTGTGTGTGTGTGTGTGTATATATATATATATATATATATATATATATATATATATATATATATATATATATGTATATATATATATATATATATATATATATATATATATATATATATATATATACATCCTTAGATACTATCTTATAGCCTGTTGTTACAAGGAAGTGTCACTACATCAACTGAGGGTTTGGTAGGGGTAGGCAGTCTATCAATTAATTAAAAAAAAAAAAATTTTAATTTTTCGGATTTTAAAACAATTTTTTTCAAAAAAATCTAAAACTCTCCTGGCAATGGTAAAACTAAAAACAACCATGCAACAACATTTTGCTTAAGTATATATCTTAAAAGTATTGTACTTCACTACATTTTAAATCATATACATTACTGATTTTATTGCGTATTAGCAATTAATTTTACAGAAATTATGAATTAAATTATTTAGTTGATTAAAATTGTTGCATGTTTTATAAATTTGTTTCCCTATATTTTACAGTGTTAATTTAAGTGAAGAAGACATTAAAAATCTCGCTTACGTTTCAAATTTGAAAAAAAAAAATTATAACAAAGATTTACTGTTTACATTTTATAATATGAAACTACATAAAAAAAGTACTATGAAAAAACATAAAAACTAACTTGTTAATTTTAATTAATTGCATATCTTAGTTACAGAATTATTAGCTTTATTTTGAAGATGTTCCTTTTTAGTTGCTCCTTGTTATAAGAAAAAAATATTTATTAAAAGCGTTTTTTACATATATGCATAGTATGCAAAATGTAATGAGAAAATTCCCAATTCTATGCAAACTACATAGTTTATATTTCTGCAAACACAAAGAAAAAAAAATGCTTTAATTGTTAAAATGAGTGTTAGATAATAAGAAATTTAATATCATATTATTTATATTAAAAACACACACTAAAAAATATTACTTAAATATAATAATTTTAAATATATACTGAAGAAAATAGACTCTTTTGTTATGTTTTTTATTGAACCGGTCTGTTTACCTGAGAATGGCTATTAAAAAAGTAAAAAAAAATTTGCTTTTTTTTTTACTATAAAACATGCCCTTAGTGTTGCTACATGGACTATTTTACAGCCTACTGCTACAAAGGAGTACTGCTAAATCGACTATCTTATAGCCTGTTGCTTCAAGGAAATGCAATTACATTGACTGAAGGTTTGATTGGGGAAGGCAGTCTATCTTATAATTTTAAAAAAACTTCAAAAAAAAAGGTTTTTAAATTTTTTTCCTTTTTTTAAAATAATTTTTTTTAATTTAAAAAAAAAATAATAAAATTGACATCTTATTGGAAAAAGTAAAAATGTTAAAGCAAGAGAATCTATATGTATATATATATGTTTATATATATATATATATATATATATATATATAATAAAAAACATTTTCAAAACACCATACTCTAGCTAGAAATAATTGATGACTGCCGTTTCTTATTGAAAATATATTAAATATGAATCGCAGAAGTATAATATTTCACTTGAAATACTCACTAGCAATTTATTTTCATAAAAATAATTACATGAAATTGACAAATTTGCAACATCCGTGCGTGACTTCCGTGATCATTCATAAACTGCATTTAAATGATTGATGTGACTCTATGATTCATAGTGCAATCCTGTAACTTTCTGGAAATCTTTACTAATGTTTAAAATATTATTTCAAAAAAAAAGTATACCGGTGAAACTTATATTGTCCGAGGAATTAAAGTTTATTTATCTAGTAACTAAAATAGAAGTGTTTCTGTTCCGTGCGTGATTCCATTTCAAACTTTATTTATTCTTTGTTAACATTACTAATTCTTACTATTTTTTGTTTACAAAATATTTATATTGATTAGAATTAAATGAGAGTAAATTAGAGATCGCTAGTTTTATTTTTATGAAAATAAAAGTAAAAACATATACAAGTTTCTGTGCGTGATTTTTTGGAAATGCCATATATATATATATATATATATATATATATATATATATATATATATATATATATATATATATATATATATATATATATATTATGTATATATATATATATATATATTCTTTATCTTTATTTATTTATTTTTTTTAAAAAGAAAGATAAAGAAAAAGAATAAACTAAGAAAAATAAATAAAATAAAAATATAGAGAATGAAAAAAAGCAAGAAAAAAAGAAAAGAATAAAACTAAAAAAAAAAATCAAAAAAAATCAAACAAAATTAATAAAAGAAAAAAGAAACAAGAAAACGACAAAAAACCAAAGTTAAAAGAAAAAAAACTTGTAAATAAAAAGGAATTAAAGAGGAATTAAAATAAAATATAAAAATTGCTCCACTTTTTAAGAAAGAAAAAATAATATTTTTAAAATTTTATTATTTTTGAGTGACGAAATGTATCAAGCAAATGCTTGATGTGATTTACTTTTTTATTTTAATATTGTCATTTATTTATAAAAACTCTGTACTTTTCATGACTAAATGTTTGTGTGTGTGACATATTTTATTTGTGAGTATTATTGAAAAATTTTTGTTTTATATATTTATTGTTATTTTTCAATGAAGTATTTATTTTATTTTTATTATTTTTATTACGATTATTGATATTAAAATTATTATATTTATTAAATCATTGTTACTTTTTTTTGCAGTAATTGTTTTAGTTACATGGTAGGTTGTTACGTTTTGTCAGTACGTAAGTGTATTTAACTTTCCTGTCAGTGCATTATAGTCAATTGTTGTTTTAAAATTAATATATATATAAATATATATATATATATATATATATATATATATATATATATATATATATATTTTTATATTTGTATATCTGTGCATTATATTCAATTGTTGTTTTAAAATTAATATATATATATATATATATATTTATATATATATATATATATATATATATATATATATATATATATATATATATATATATATATATATATATATATATATATATATATATATATATATATATATATATATTATTCTTAATTTTTTTCTTTTTCTAAGAAAAAACTGTGTGCTATAAAGATAAGCAAAACTAATAAGCAATAGCTGATCTATATACTCTATAGATAATACCGATATATTAAATTTGTACCAAATTTTATATACCATTACAAATTTAATTTATTTATATTTGTAAAAAAAACTGAAATTATCAGTTTAAAGCCATTTTTGAATTATTGCTGATTAAGATATATAATCGAACTAACTATATCTTATAAACAGGTTGCTAAAGAAGTAAAGTTTCTAGGATCAATGCACAAAAGTAAAGTGAATTTGTTTATAGGTCCTTAGCTTTCATGACAAAACAGTTGGCAGTGCCAACTTGATTTTATGAAGCCTTAATTTACTTCTATGGATTCATATCTCATATAAAATCTTTTTAATATGACTTAAGTAATAGACTAGATTAAATGAATTCTTTTGCACAATATTACAATTATTTGGTTAAAAATATATATCCTTTAATTATTTGAGCCGTTTATTTTGTGGCATAAGTAACCTTTTCAACAAAATCAATTTATTAATAACAATGATTACAATGTAATGGTATCTTTTCATTTGTGAAATAATTTAAATAAATTGTGTTAAAAATTGAGATATTTTGGAACAAAGTTTTGTTAGTTAATGGTATTACGGTGTTAAAACCCAAACCATTAAAAATCTCTGTTGAAAAACAAAATGACTTATGCCACTTTCAAAATAAATGGATCATTTATTGAATAAAAAATAGTAAATATATATTTATATAACAATAACAAATGCAAAGTACCTTCATATACTAAATCTCCAAACACATAGCTTAAAAAACAAACCGAAAAAATGGTAAAGATTTTCTAAAAAAAAAATTAAAATTAATTAATTTTATTAAGTTATTACATAATATACATTAAATAGTGATTTTTTTCAGCAATTTTTTTATTAAAAAAACTATTAAAAAATTTCCTAAGCATTACTTAAAAAATATTTTAAAACTGAAAAAAAAAATAACAACAATCAATTCAAAATTGCAAGGGAAAAAGTAAATAACAGGACTACTCATTTAAAATTACATTGAGTGACCTAAAGTTAATAATAAGCAAGTAAATTAATAATTGCAAATAAATAAGCAATGTAATAAGTTTTCTTATTCACAAATTTAAGTTAATATGTAAACAAATAAGAAAATAAATCTCTTATTAAAACTAAACTTTAACTCATTAATTGGATAAAGCACAGATAAGACATACATAGTTGTATTACAACTAATATGACGCTATAGAAATGAACAATGGGATGCATGCTTGTTTTATATAAGCAAACACAACATTTAAAATACACTCGATTATGCTTATGCAAAAAAAAATTTTAATTATTTAAAAAAATATAAAGAAACTCAAAATATGCTTATTTAAAGAGTAAAAAGCCTCATAATTCAAATATTTTTTGAAAACATGTGCATTTTAGCAGGTGAAAGGGTATAAGAAAGAAAATTTTGTTAATGTTGTGTGTTTGTTGCTTTTAAATGTAACTAAATGATGTTGTGAGGACATAATCAAAAGATGGCATATATCAAAATTTAAAAATAAGATTTATTAATACTTTCAAAACTTTATCACAAACTTTATCAATAAAATCAAAAATTAAAATCACATTTGTTCACTAAAAATTTCATTCTAACAAATTTTATTGACATAACCATTGAAAGCATGATCCCCCTCCAGTTAAAAATCAGCATATATCTCAGTATGTTGGTCCCTAGCAGGATCGATTATAGATGATTACGCATTATAAGTATTAAGAACTTTCAGTTTAATAAAGATATATTTTAAAAAGTGATCAAGCATCTAGTCATCATCCATTTCTGTCTTTCCTTGTTATACTATTAGAACAGGTTGAAGCTGAACCATAACTGAAGTTCATGTTTTTACTGTCCAATTTACTATCAAACTTTTTCATTCTTCTGAAGTTTTGGGCATTTTAGTCCTAAACCATTTATCTTTAAGATTATTTGCATCTAGTCACTTTTGATGATCAATTGCAATGAACACTTACAGAGTAACAACTAATTATTTATTCTAATCCTCTATCAATTTGTTGTCAATGTTCAGAGGCACTTACAAAACATTGCTATTTGTCCAATACTGAATCCAGTCATAAGATTCATACATTATATATTCAAACATTGATCTCTAGTAATATAGTTGTAAGCTTTCTTTTAAAATCAAACAACTATTTGCATCTTATCAGCTACTTTGTTAGATCTTTCATTTTTTCCTTGCACTCAAGAATTCACTGCTAAACTAACAATTCAACTTTTACTCTAAAGAACATCTTTTTTTACAGTGTGTTGTTTTTTCTGATTTAAAAGGTGTTTCTGGTTTTAACTTTGTGTCGACACACAAAGTTTTTATTAAAATTTGTTAATTTTTTTAACAAAAAAAAATTTTTTTAGAGAATTTTTAATAAAAAAAAAAATTCTTTTAATTATTTTAATTAATTTTCAATTATTTTATTTGTAAAAAAAATATAATAAACAGATTTTTTTTACACATAATACATATATGGAATATATGTATAATTATACATTTCAATTATATTTATATTAATTATACTTATCAATTATATCAATTACCAATTATAATTGATTGCTTGTATGCATATATATATATATATATATATATATATATATATATATATATATATATATATATATATATATATACACATATATATATATATATATATATATATATATATATATATATATATATATATATATATATATATATATATATATATATATATATATATATATATATACATATATATATATTAGGGAATCCCATAATTTTTTTTTGAGAACCAAATTACATGCGGAGTCGCTAATGAGTGGCATAGAGGTCATATTTATATAAGAAATTTTTTTTTTTTTTTTTCTTGTTAGAACTATTCGCGCCAGTCATTCGAAGTTACGCACTTTTCAATTTTTGACCAAATTTAAGCAGTTTTCAACGCAACAATTTTTTCATTTATGCTCTCTTAATGTGCTCCTATACTAAAAAAAATATGGTGCTTTTCGATTTAAGAAATATATAATGCCTACCGTTTACTGATTTTGATAGAAAAATCAAAATTTGTGTTATTTCAAAGTGCCTTTTTGTTGATCTATGAGGTCATTTTCAGTCATTGTGCAATTACTATAATTGAAAAACAAAGCCTAACTCAAAATGGTTACCCCAAAAGATTTGTTACAGGACTTTCAATATTTGGTGTAGATTTAACTAGATCAAAATGTATTGATATGCTTCAGAAATATCTATTAAAATTTTGTGTGTGTTATTTTAAATTCTCATTAAATTTTAAGTGCTTATCACAGAGCACCGCGGTATAGAGTTTTACTACAAAGTTCACCCTTATTTCATTATCAATGTTGTTTATATGACTAAATGGGCATTAATCCTCGGACCTCCGATATTAAAGCAAGAACTCTAACCACTGCTATAGCTGCTATTATATTTATTATATATATAATAGATTTTTCCCTTTAAGACAAATATCTCTAGAAAATATGTAATATAATATTTTTTTAAATATATTTTCAAGGCTTAGAGTCTACAGTAAGGTATTGGATCAAAATTCAAATTATTAGAAATATTAGAAAAGTTTTGAATTATTAACTCATAGCCAATAGCGAGGAAGCAGGCGTCATAGCTGACTCCTTCTATCCTTTCTTCGTCTTTTTAAATGGCTTTTTCCAAGAGTTTTTCATTTGGAGTAGGTTCTGAAGTTTTTCCTCGCTCTTCGCACGCTCTACATTATCTTGAATGAGTTTTACTGGACGTTCTGATGAGTCATTAACAACTTCGACAGATTTTACGAAGCTTTGAAACTTATCCTGGAAATTCTTTCCAAAAAAATCTGAGGGAGTTTCATCCATAGACATTTTTCAGAAGTATGACCTAGAACATCAAAAATTAACCAGAAATCTGGGGAAATATATGATTCAAGGCCTGGTGGTTGGTCTTTATTAAACAGAAAACTGTTATCAGAACAGATTTTGACTTTGATTCGAAGGTCAAAAGAATCTAATAGATTTTGAATTGCTGTCAACTGAGCCTCACCACTGCCGTGTTCCAACCCTGGAGCACCTAACAGATGGGACTGATTGTCATGCCTTATAAGTACACAAATTCGTTCTTTTGTCTCATTTATGCTACCCATATAATCTTTGATAATTTTGCCATCAAAATGCACAATGATGGGTTTGCCGCTCTCCTTAACCATAATGATTATGTTTGCTCTAAGAAAAGCAGCATCTTTTCTTATTATTGTATCACAAATCCTGTGAGTAGAGCTGTGGGAAAATGTTATGTTTTCGATATCTCCACCGGCATTGCAAAGAAAAGAAGATATAAGTGCTGTTGCCTGGTTAGTAGATATTTCCATTCCAATAGCAGTTCTTGCAGTTTTTGAAAAAATGTCTTTTGGTACCTTTAGAGCCATATTTTTAACTGTCTTCTTCTTCAAAGCGTTACCAACCTTAAAATTGTCTTCGGAACTGCCATCATTATAGTCCAGGTCTTCATCAGTAATTGTTTCACTTTCAGAGGAAAATCCTGATAAATCATGGATAGTGTTTTCAACTATACTAGAGTTTTTAGAGTTATTTCTTGATGCAGATCTTTTACTAACATCTACAAAGCGACCGTCCAACACTCCAATCAAAATCCTTTTGCAATCTAGCTGGTCCCGTATAAAGGTTAAATCTTCAATCTTATCTGCTACCAGTCTTAGCCTATCAGTCTTTAAACTATGTTCAAGAAGCGTAATATCTTCTCCAGCCCAAAATAATCCTTTAAATTTAATTTTATTAGGTAAGAACAAGAAAAAGTAAACTATTTACTTCACAATAAATTGGCTTAGTATTGGCTGTTTGACAATGTTTTTGAAAATGTTAAAATTTAATATTTATCACCTACCTGTCATTGATTTCTCAAATTTATTTCTTGTCTCAAGATAACCAATTCCAATTTTGTTCTGGAATTTCTTCAACACTAAGTACTTTTCTACATATTTCTTGACATGGTACATCATTTTTTTGTCACTGATGACTTTGAAGCCAGTCTTTCTCCAAGGAATTAAGATCCCGGAAAGGATACAACTGACATTGCAAAATTCATTGTTTGTTATGCATTTTAATCTATGAAGAACTTACGTAAATTAAAAACATAACTTATAAAATTGTCCTTACTATATTTGACATAAAACATGAAATAACGTTCTTATCTATTGATTTCTAAAGCTAAAAGCTTACTTGAAAGTTTTGGACATTAAAGGACAAGCGATGAGATCCTTTAGTCCTTTCTTTGGAAATTATTCTCTTAAAAATAAGTAGCGTTGGATAACGTGAATCATTAGGGGCAGCTGATTTGTTTCCATTCTATCCAGAGTGACATTAACTAGGAACAAGATCTCCTTTTTTTTAACCCCTTCTTGGGACAGGGGTACACCTCAGATACTTTTGTTGTCATAACTAGCTTTAAAACTAAATTTCATAATGGTAATCATTGTTTTAAAACACTATAAATATTTTCGTAATTTGTATGAAGTTTAAAATCATTTAAAAGGTTATTTATAATATTATAAATGTTTAAAAAACTTAATTTATTTAACTATAATTATAAAATATAACATATAATTATGTTATGTTGTTATAATAAACTTACTTGAGGTGGAAATAATTGATTTTTTACAATTAAAAATTGTTAAGAAGCTCGATGAACAATTGTTTTATAAACTGTGCTTTTTTAAAATCTCATCCAATTTTTGCGTTTTAAAAGTACCACCTGGTATCGAATATGATAATAATAAAAATGCGCACAATCAGTATGAATAAAAAACCTTCCATTCTTTGTATTGACGCAATTAAATTGTTAAAGGTTTATAATTTCTATTCGCATCGATCATTTGAAAATGCCCATAAAAACTCAAAAAATGTAAAAAAGTTAAACTTTAAACGAATGGCGCGAGTATAAATACTCATCCAGAATAAAAAATACAAAAATGTCATTAACAAACCAATACCTTGGGAACATTTTGAGACACTCCGTGAAATAAAATTCGTTCATGAGGGTCAAAATGGGATGGCCTAATATATATATATATATATATATATATATATATATATATATATATATATATATATATATATATATATATATATATATATATATATATATATATATATATATATATATATTATATATATATATATATTTATATATATATATATATATATATATATATACATATATATTTTAGATTCTTTTTATGTATATTTAATACTGGGGTGTGTGCATATATATATATACATATACATATATACATATATACATATACATATATACATATACATATATAATATATATATATATATATATATATATATATATATATATATATATATATATATATATATATATATATATATATATATATATATGTATATGTATATATATATATGTATATGTATATATATATATATATATATATATATATATATATATATATATATGTATATATATATATACATATATATATATATATATATATATATATATATATATATATATATATATATATATATATATATATATATATATATATGTATATGTATATATCTATATGTATATATGTATATATGTATATGTATATATATATATATATATATATATATATATATATATATATATATATACATATATATATATATATACACACCCCAGTATTAAATATACAGAAAAAGAATCTAAAATTTCATATATGGAAACCATACAGTACCAATTTTTATACTTTTTAGACATAACAGCTATTCTACATGATAACAACATTATTGAAACAGATAATTTCAATAATTATTTTATAAACCAACAAATCCCCATGATTATCTAAATTAAAATAGCCATCACCCTAAACATACAAAGGAAAATATTCCTATTACATTAGCAAAATGGATTATTTGTGTCTAATCCAACAAATACGGAAATCTGACTTAAACAACTAAAACTATTTTTAGTTTGAAGCAAACCCAGTAAAAATCATTAATAATGGAATTTTTAAGGCTTGACTACAGGGACCAGTACCTCAAAAAAAAGAAAAGAAAAATATTATACCTTTGTAACTAATAATTTTGCAAATATTAATTTTGAAAATTTCATAACTACTTTATGTATTTGATAACTACTATTATGAAACTGTCTGTTTTATTCAATAAATTTTAATAAGTTTTTGAAAACACTTTTATTGTACTATCACAACCTCAACCAAAAAATATTTCAAGACACCTAAGTACATCAAGTTTTAATAGGGAACCAGTTTTTATTAACAATAAATGCAAGGTTTAAAAATGCATATCAACACATTGTAAGTTTTGTACTATGCACCTTCAGTTTGTTAACCATTTTACCATATCATCTGGTAAATTATGGAACATTAAAACTTCAATATCATGTAATTCCAAAAATATTATTTATTTTCTATCATGTAATGGATGTAATAGAAATACATTACATACATTGGTAAAACTAATAATCTAAGATTAAGAAACAATTTACACGTCTATACATGCAGAACATATAATGGTTTAAATAAACTTGATCAGCGTATTTTCAATTGCCATAAAAATGAACCTGTTTAAAATTATTTCTTTGTTAAAACTCTCAAATGAGTATTTACTTCTTATTTATGAAGCTCACCTGCATAAACTGGGATATGACACAATAACATAGAAACAGAAAGTAATTATTTTCACATTACTTTTAAAATTTCCTTACCGAAAAGAATCAAGTTATACTATATTATTGTTAATTATAGTTTTTTTTTATATAAACCTTAATTACTTCCTTTTTAAATTTTTTATCAGGAGTTTAATATAAAGAGTTTTTTTATAGTTTTGTAAATCTCATACAAAAGAACATTTTATATGAAAGGCCTTTTGTGTTTGAGAAAAGATTAAAATATTTGTTAAAATTTAGCTAATAAATATTTTATCATCTTAGTTTGAATAATTTTTCATTTGTTTTCTGTAACTTTTACTGAAATAGACAGTAGTACAAGAAATAAATTTTTTACACTAGTAATTATAGTATGTACAAAAAGAAAAAAGATAAAATAAGCATACCAATCTGCGGTGAAAAGCAAAAAATGATTTTTTTAAATGTATATGTATAAAGGCAATTTACATAATCAATTAAGAAAGTCGTTTCTTCGTATTCCATTGAACACATTTTAATAAATTTTTTCAAAATATATATATATATATATATATATATATATATATATATATATATATATATATATATATATATATATATATATATATATATATATATATATATATATATATATATATATATATATATATATATATATTGATTGCATACAAGCAATCAAGTGTACATATATTTCATATATGTATTATGTGTATAAAAAACTTTTTATAATCTTCATTTTTTACAAATAAAAAAATTTATTACACATTTTAAATTTATTAAAGTATTTTGAAATTTAGTTGATATCATTAATAAAAAGCATTCATAACTTTATTTACAAAATTATTATACACATTTTTCACTGCTAAACTGAAAAGTTTACTTTTTTCTTCGAAGCACTCTGCCTGTTTTATCTCAAAGTTTTACAAACTTCTTTGCACATTTTGTGCATATCTTTAAAATGAAAAGCTAGTCCTTGTTGGCTTTTAAATTATTTTTTTATGTGTTTACAATCAACAAGAGATCTAACAGCCTCTAATAGAAACAAGATTGCTATTTCCTCTCTACTTTTTTCTTTTCTGTGCGATTTCCTTTGGTAAAATAAAAAGCTCTCAGTGTAATATGCATTTTTTTTTTTTTTTTTGACATAATTTTTTTTTTTTTCTTATAAAATAATAATAATAATAATAATAGTAATTTTGAAGAGTTAGTCAAACAGTATAATACACATTTTAAATTTTTAAATACATTTTAATATTTAATAAACTTAACAGTAAGAAACAACAGAGAGAAAGAGTTTCGTACTATATTGTTGCTTAAATTATGTTATAATCATAATGCAACAATTATAAAAAAGCTCAATCTCTCTCTCTCTCTATCTATCTATCTCTATCTGTAGTCTTTTACTGAGGCTTACTGCTTTTATCTAAATAATAAGTAACCCTCAATAATATGTTTTTCAGATGATTATGTTCTAGTAAATTGCTTATTTTAAAAAAAAGCATGTACCTGTTACAGGTATCCTGTATTGCTACAGGTAGCCTGTATAGAGTGTTGTGGTATTGTTAAATGCAAAAAAAATCCATAATCATTTAACACGTGCTTTTGTTGTTGTTGTTTTAAAAAGTGCGACTAATAGTGCGATACGCGACGAGAGTGATGCCTTATTTTACTAAGTCGGCAATTCGCGACGTGTGAAAAAAAAATTTATAATTATAGGTACCCAGCGAAGTCCTTTCCTACCACAGAGCACCGCGGAAAAGCATTTGAAAGGAAGTTTTCACTTTCCTTATCGATGTTATAAAACTTTCCCACTTGGCATTGAACCACGGATCTCTAGTTTCTGAGGCAAGCGCGCTAACCACTATCTATCACTGGAGTTCAATATAAAACAACAGTTAAACAGGATAAAAAGGAACAAGAACAAGCTGACAGTTTGAGAAGGTTTCCTGTCTAATTTTTAGAATACTACTTGATATGTGATCATTTTCTTAGTATCATATGAAAAAAACCATATTCTTAAAACTTTTTTTTAAATTTTACATTTTGAAAAGGTTTTATAATTTTTTTGGAGAAAAAGTAAAAAAAAGGTAATTGAACATGGGTTATGTTGCGTTAGGTTTATTAAAAATCAGTTGTACGTTCTGGATTCTATGTTGACTCCATTGACACTTAAGAAATAAATGCTGAAACAATTTTATAAAATGCTTTCATTAAAAAAATTCTCTTCGTGTTTGGATTTATTTTAAAGTTTGTCACGTTGGCATTTTAAAAAAGTTACCAAACTTGGTCTATGCTCAACTAGCTCTGCTTTACCTTACATATATAAGATGAAGCGTTATTCTGAATACATTTTATTTAATTTTTTCAAAAGTTTTTAAAATGTTAAACATTTTAAAAAAAATTAAATAAAATGTATTCAATGAAATACAAAGAACCGACTTTCTTAATTAAACATGCAAATTCCCTATATACATACACTTTTAAAAAAATCATTTTTTGCTTTTCACCGCAGATTGGTATGCTTATTTTATCTTACTTCTTTTCGCACATACTATAATTACTAGGTTAAAAAAATCATTTCATGTACTACTGTCTATTTCAGGGCCGATAACACCAAAGAGGGAGAGGGGCTCCAGCCCCTCTCCCCCTTTTTTTTTTTTTATAAAAGCCTTTTTTTTAAAAGAAAACTCTAGATATAAATGGCTTATTTTATAAATTTACGATTGTGACCCCACCCCCACCCCCAACTTCAAAGCCCGTGTCATCGGCCATGATTTACATGTTTAAAGATACCTCGTTTGCAGAGTAACATTATTTGACTAATTAAAAAAATATTATACCTAGTCAAAAATTAGCTCTCACCAAAAGAAACAAACCTTATACCCTAGTTAGTATAGTATGTGTTTAATCAAAGCGGAAACAAACATACGGGAAGTGAGACCAATCTGCTGTGAGAATCGAGTATTTAAAAAAGCAATCTTTTTATATTATATATGTAGGTAAGACAATGTGGGTAATGAGCATAGGGACAAATTGGGCAATTAAAAATCTTAAAAACAAAACATTGGATAAAAAAACATATAATGGATGAAAGAAATGTACTTAGAATGGTAATACAATGCGCAAAATATAGTTGTTGATTTATATTTGTTGTCATAGACTTTCCATTAAAATTAACAATTTTTTCCGTAATTTCTTTTATAAGCTAACTGATGTGTCCCTTTATCTAGCCGAAGTACTAACTAAAATGTAAAACATTTTGAAAAAATTTAATAAAATAGCTCGATGGAATACAAAGAAACAACTTTCTTAATTAAATTATTATTATTATAGTTGTAGCCGTAAAATATACAAACCATATATACATACAGCGAGCAGGGAAAACACTCTACTATAAACAACCAGTTTTATAAATATTTGTTCAGAATTTTATCCTCAACCAGTTATCTAATCTAATTTTAAAAGAAAGTACAGTAAAGTATAAAGTTAATTACTCGAGTAGTTCATTCCAGTATTTTGCTGATCTATTATATAATTGGTTGTGTCTTGGAAGACAGTTTGGAACATATTCACGTCTTATTTTAAGATGGTAACCACGTGACAATGAGTTAATAAATTTTGGTTGATATATATTATTAGTTATATCAAATTGATGTATTAGTTTAAAAATTTGTATTAGATCGCATCGTAAGCGCAGAAACTCGAGTGATGATAAGTTTAGTCTTTTAAGTCTTTCATAGTATTAAAGATTTCTCAAGTTTAAAGCCCATTTTGTTGCTTTACGTTGAATAGATTCAACCAAAGCTACGTCAGTTTTTTAATAAGGGGCCCAAACAGACACTGCATATTCCAGGTGTGGTCTTATAAACACTTTATATAATTTGAGAGCCATTTTTTCATCAACAATGGTGAATGTCCTTTTTAGCATACCAAGAATTTGTAAAGATTTGGAGATAACTGATTGAATATGTGTACTCCACTTGAGGTTAGATGTAAAAATGACTCCTAAATCGCGCTCTTTAACAGAGCTTCTCAGGCTTTCATTTATACCTTGGTTGTTTTTTAAAAAGTAGCTATACATAGGATTGGTTTTACCATAACGGATAATACAGCATTTTGAAATGTTTAATTTAAGTAACCAAGTGTTTGACCACTCGTATACTAAGCGTAGACCGTCCTGCAGATCAACGAAATTAGTCTGCGATGAAGTTTTAGAAAAATGTTTAGTATCGTCTGCAAATACTTCAGAAGTTTCTGTAAGTTGGGCAAGATCGTTTGTAAAAAGAATAAAGAGGAGCGGGCCGAGAACAAAACCTTGAGGAACACCACTAAGAACATCAACCCAGTCAGAGCTAGTATTGTTAATTGTAACGCGTTGCTTTCTGCCTATTAAGAAGGAACTCTTAATTAAATATGTAAAGTCCCTTTATACATATACATTTAAAAATATAAATTGACAAGACTTTAAAATTTAAGACAATCGCCTAAATCAGGGGTCGATCTTTTCATACCTATCGCCCATATTTTCGCCTCGATTGATAGTAATGTATTCTTACAGCCCGCCTGTGTTTAAACAAATTAAAAAGTAGAGTTATAGAAAATTTAAGCATACAAGTACAATATTTAAGCATAATAGAAAATTATGTATAACAACTTATTGCTTACTAACCGATAAAATTCTCTATTTAATAGAACATGACAGAAAAGTTCATGCTTGTCAATAATCAATGAAAGTTCAAGCTTGTCTAAAAATAATGATACAAAACTTTATTAGTTTTGTCAAAGTACATATGGCATCAATAAAGCTTTAATGTCTTGAATGGTTGACGCATCCAATTACATGTAAAATTAACATTGTCGGAGAACATTAAGCAGTTTTTTTTACGTTAACTCTCTTTACTGTAGTAGGGTAGAGCGGTGTATGTATGGACACTTAAGAAACAAATGCTTGTTGCAGATAACATTCTTTTTTATAAGTTTCCTAAAATTCATTAATATAAGATAACGGAAAAACAAAAAAAAAAAGTTCTTAAAATTGTATGAAAACCAAAGTAACGAAACTCTACCCTATGGGCATTTGTTTTTAAAAGTTACGTTCTAAATGTCTTTTAAACGTTTTTTAAACGTCTTTTAAACGTATTTTAAACGTTTTTTACATAAGAATGTTTAGATGTTTAAAAGACATTTAAAAAACATTTAGAACGTAACTTTTAAATACAAATGCCCGCTAGGTAAACTAGCAAAATTTCTACATTTTGCAAATGGGTGGGGCAAAGCGGGACAATAAAAAAGCAGCAGTTATCTGTTAATTGTAAAGCTTTAAAAGTAATAAAAAATAAAAACTTTTTATCATTTAAACTTGTTCATACATTAAAATCTTGAAAAATAATGTTCATACATTAAAATCTTGAAAAATACCTATAAAAATTTAAAATTTAAGTAGTGCAAAACTAGAAGATATTATTAAATTGGTTGCTACTACTAAATCTAAAATTAAACAAAAAACATTATAGATTACATAAATCACACAAAAAATATCCTGAATTTGTTTGATAACATATTTGATGAGTTGGCTTATTATCAATGTGTCAATGTAGAGCAAATTTAATTATGCCATATAAACTAGCAGTTTTTAACTATTACTTTTCATTATTAATAAATGAAGTTAAGTTATAAAAATAACAATATGAATTGTTATTTTTATAACTAAACTTCAATTATTAATAGTGTTTAATGCAAACATGGTAATGAAATTATATAAATTATGGTAAGAAATTATATAAGAAAGATTAATCATGCATATAATAAAAAGTCTTTGAGCACTTTTTTATAAAAAGATGTAAAAAAAAACGTAACTTTATCTTAGAAAATTTGTAAATGTTAAAGTTAGTTTTAAGTTTTATAGTTTTACTTTTTACTTGAAAATTGCGCTGCGGCATATTTCCTTAATTTTTGATGTATAGCATGTATTTGTCTAGTTTATAAAAATAGGAAAAGGAAAAGTTTTTCTCAAAATTTAGGCTCTAGAGATTTCTGGAGAAACTTTAACAGTGTCTATAATTAGGGCAAATTTATTCCTCCTTTCTTGTATAGTTCATATTTTGTTACCTCACTTTAGGACAAAGCTGGATTATTTGCTAAGAACTTTTCATCTCATTCTTTTATTTCATCACTGCTAATAACATCTCACCATCTTATATGATATAGCCGAAAAACAGGTTGATCCACTGCTTGACATTTGTATCACTCCACCTTTTGCACCTAAAATGTTTTCCTGCTAAGACTCTTCAACAGCTTTAGGTCCCGACAATATAGTCTTGCAGAAGTGTTCTCCGGAGATATCGTCTATACTTTAAAAACTATTTAATAAGTGTTTTTCAGAGTCTTGTTCTTTAGCCTGCTGGAGGCTATCTGTTATCCCAATTTTAAAAAATCCTTAAGCGTATTGTGACTCGTCTAATTACCGTCCCATTAGTTTTCTTCCTTAAGAAATAATAATCAACCAAGCCTTCTATAAGGTTTTGGAATCTTTAATTAAAAAACTTACATTTAATAGCTTAATTTCTGATCATCAATATGGATTTCAATCTTCTCTTTCTACTGCTGTTTTGTTAATGGTAA